GATGTAAAGAGAAACAGAGTATGAAAAATGATAAATTAAATTAACGAAAGACAAGACGAAGGGATTAGGACAGAAGATGAGAAAAAGTAAAATAATAAGTAAGAGAAGAAAAGACGAAGAAAAGTAGAAGGAAGGAAGAATCAAGAGAAGTTGAAAGTGAAAGGAAATGTATTCCTTCCACTTCTTACTTCTCTTGATTTCTCTTCCCGTGGGAAGAAAATACAGTGTCTGATCACGGCACGGAGATGAGTAAGGGGAAGAAATTGGTTCTGTATAATGGTTCGTGAATATTTCCTCCTCTAGGCAGCCCTTGCGAAATTACGTTTTAGTTAAACCAGCAGGTATCTTCTTCACACACTTGTAGACATACTTGTACTGTACATCTATTCAAAACTCTACAATAACGGTTAAACAGTACAATGCTGTAAAGGCAGAAACGTGTTGGTACAATCATAATAATAACAGTTTCTTCGGGTTGGAAATCTCCGAAACACAAGGAACATATAGCCTAGCAATCTCGCTCTTTACTTAGCTGATTCACCTGAAAACCTAACGTGTCCCATTAACCCCAGCAATGACAGTCTCCAACCCTCTTGATATTCGATTGCACACAGAAAGTAATTACTGAAAATCGCAAATAAAATTTTAAATAAAACTCAATTGACCCCCAAATTTTTTTTTTGTTTATTTGATAGAGAATAAATAGGATTTTAGCCAGTTGAAACGAGTGTAAGAAATTAAATATATCAGCAACAATGTCGTGAAAATGAGTCCTCGATCAAGTCTCCCTACAGACGCTATTAGATACGTAGTACGTGTGCCGCTCAACATATAACAGCATTTGTCTGCACTAATAATGCTAAAATGTTTATTGAAGACAGCATTGTGGCACATCGTATCCTACATGTTAATCCGCCCCATTAGACAGCAATCGTTGCGTTTCGGGGCGCGCTGTCGGGCGCAGGCGGAGGCGTCATTGGCAGGGCACGCGCGTAGGCGACGGGATGCAACTAATTATTGATTGCGTCCGAGCGCGTCTGTTGCTATTATCACTACTCCGGGTAGTTTGGTGAATGATTTACTCCGGAAAGTGGCGGTGTACCTCCCAGCTAGACGGAGGGATCTGGTGCGGAACTAGACGTCTACATGTGAATGGATATCCTCCAAGAATCTTCCTCATCGAGGCACCGCCCCAGCCGAGGAAGGCTCTAGGCTCCCGACTAGTTTCCGACGTGTGTGCTAGTGTAGTGTGCAAATTAGGAATGAGGGTAGGAAGAGGAAGAAACAATCGCGACCGGTCCGTGGCCCGTTTGTTCGGGTATTGCTCCTGCATTCCCCTCGGGTTAATGGGACAACACACGGAAAACTACCGATCAGAGCAGGCGGCTGCTAGACTTCTCCTCCAATGATCGGGTGCATTCTGAGCGCGTGGGAAGCGTCGGAGCTGGCGGCACGTGGGGCGAGGGCAAAGCGGCGCGGTGGAGACCGGCCGGTCGCTTCGGCTGGGATATTTAAAACCGCGGGGCTCTTCGTCTAAAACAAGCGCAAACCCCAAACACTCTCCCGCGGGAGTTCGCCTTCGTCACCCCCTCGGACAAGCATTTACTCATTCTGATACGATTCGGTCTGCACCCCCGCCCGCCCCCCCCTTCTTCCCGCCGCCGCGCGAGCCGAACGCGCCCGCCGCCCGGCACGGCGCGTTGGCGAGCTGCGCACGGAAAGCTCCAACAGGCGCGGCCCGGCGCGGGGCGCGCGGGGCGCCGGCCGGCCGCGCGCGCGGGCCGGGGCGCGGGGCGGCCCGGGCGGCCGGGCGGCGGCGGCCGGGCGGCCGGCGGCGCGGGCGGCGCGGGCGGCCGGGGCGCGCGGGCGCCGGCGCGGCGCGGCGCCGGGGCGCGCGGCACGGCGCGGGCGGCGCGGGCGGGCGGGCTCGCGGGGCGCCCGGGCGCCGGGGCGGCGCGGGCCGCGGCTGCGCGGGCGCGCCGGCGGCCCGGGGGGCGGGGGGGCCGGGGCGGGGGCCGGGCGGCCGGGCCGCGCGGGCGGCCGGGCGCGCGGGCGGCGCGGGGCGGCGCGGGGCGCGCGCGGCGGCCGGGGCGCGGCGCCGGCGCCGGCGCGCCTGCGGGGCGGCGGGACGCGCGGGCGCGCGGCGGCGGCGGCGCGACCGCGCGGGCGCGCGGGCGGCGCGGGCGCGCGCGCGCGGGCGCGGGCGCGCGGGCGCGCGGGGCGGCCGGCGCGGCGCGCGGCGGGCGGCGCCGCGGGTCGGCGCGGCGGCGCGGGCGCGCGCGCGCGTGGCGCGCGGGCCGCGCGGGCGGCGCGGGGCCGGCGGCGCGGGCGGCCGGGCGGCGCGGGCGGCGCGGGCGGCGCGGCGGCGGGGGCGCGGGGGCGCGGCGGCGCGGCGGCGCGCGGGCGCGCGGGCCGGGCGCCGGGGCGCCGGGCGGCGGCGCATAGATGCACTTAACGTGAACAACTTTATTTGGATTCCCTGACACTATTACGAATTATATTCGTACAATTACTCCGTTCTTGGCATGTCTTTTCTGTTGAAGCTCGTATGACCAAATTCTCAATTGTTTCTTATTTTCACACACTTGATTCCGATTTCCGAAGTATTTTGAAAGCGTTTCATTTGAAGTGGATGTCTTACCAGAAATAACAAATCGTGCTCAGCCTTTCTTTCGACCTTCTCAACGTAAATATTTACATTCATCAAAAGCTATCAGCATCTAGTGCCAGAAAGCGAGAACACAGACAAAGGTCTTGTGTTTTCTCAGATGTCAGAGGGAAACCTAACTGAAATGAAAACAAGGAAAACGAACTTGAAAGGGTTAACTTGGATGTTTGATGATCTTTATATGAATAATACTGTTTAATTATTCTGTTGGCGGAGAATTGACACTCATACTGATGGCGAATATCTGCACATTTTTTCTTGAAATAAAATAATAATTTTGGGTTTCTTTAGTAAGTAAGTTAATATTAACTCATTAATTGAAAATAAATCCAGAAGTCAGCCGCGATGTGTGTGTGTGTGTGTTTGAAAGGGAAACGAAGTGCAAATGGAGAGATCAGTCATGGAGGCAGGGAGGGAAGGACTAAAGCAATACTTGATGATTTGAGTTGGTCTAAAAAACAGGAACTGTGATTAAATACACTCGCACATACAAAGTAATGACATTGGCGAATAGAGGTATTTTTTTTCAGATAACGAACCGGAAAGAGGAAATACACATTAGTTATGTGTAGTTCGGTACTACCTAGAATATCGACGAACGAAGAATCAAACGATTTAATTTGATTTACTCGTGTTTTCGGGCGATTCAACTGCTATGGTCAATAGTACCCCAAGTTTAGGGCATGATTTTATCACGAGAGGAAGCTGTGTTTTTTCCCGACGGGATGGCGAGATCCGGAGCCGAACTACACATCGGCTTGAGGTGTTGCCCACATCCAGGTATTTCCCCTCAGCTGGTCACTGCCTCAGTCGAAATCAACTTCAAGCGCCTGACTGGTCTTCCGGCATGTGTGGTAGTGTAGTGATTGTAAGTGTGTGCGTGATTAAGGCGTGAAGATAGGACAAGAAAGAGGAAGGAAATATCGCCAACTGCCCGTAGCCTGTTCGGTAGGTTACTGTTCCGTCAATCGCTTGGCCAATGTGAAGCTGACGAGAAGGATGGGACGAAAAGTATTGAAGAAGGGAAAATAGAAGAATACTAAGTGTGAGACGTTTCTCACGTGTTATTTCGTCTGCTAGTGGTTAATAGACATAATTATGGCCAGAGATGAGAAACCAGCAATATTCTAACTTGAGTAATCAATGTTCAAAGGAAGTCAGGCGCTTGCTATCGCTAAAGTATCTCGCTTTTCATCTGTACGAATCTGGGACTCTATCTCTGTTTGTCTACCACTGCTGCATTCGAAACAGAATCCTCATATCCGCTTCATTTATAATCTGCCTTGTCAGTCTGGGAAACCTGCAATCATTTAAAATGAAACGATGATGAGTTTGGAAGGCCCGCCTTCGTTTAGACAGGATGTTATCCCCGTGCGACTCTCTTACTTGCGTTGATCACGGTATTAATGACCCATAAAACATGGGTTCGACTCCACAAAGTGTTAGAGGAAATAATTAACTTAATAGTATAGGAAAAAGATTTATCCACTTTTTCTTTTCCAGACCAGCGCAATATATGATTAAATCGCGATTTTTCGCCGCGCGATTACAATCCCAGTCAATCAAAAAAGAACCCAGAATCACCAGTCAATCAAAAAAAATCTATGTTTACTTAACATCCCTGTATTGAAGAAAATATGGGCAGTTGGCCGTTAGATCGAAACCGTGACGTGTCTCTTTGTCATCAGTCGGCAAAGAGACGACTCGCGCGTTTGGTTCACTGCTTCCCCGCTCCCCGCGCCGCCACTCCTCGCGCGCCTTGTATTCGTTTCCGGTGCGTGAGGCGATGCACAATAGAGGCGCACGAGTGTCATGATCCGCAATGAAAAGGACGTGGAGGGGGAAGACGACAGCTAAAGGGTGGAAGAAGGAGAACCTGCGAGGATGATGGAAGTAAATTAAAGGATTCAAGAAAACAGAAAAAAATCTGTCGGCAGTAGATTGGAATGTGGATTTTGATTATTAACACTTTTATACGCATTCCAGTTTTTAATGAATTACAAGTAATGAATGTACTTAGAATGTAAATTTTTGTGTATATTTTGTTTTAATTGATTCTTTATTGAGAACAAGGAAACGAAAAGAAAAAAAATAGTTTAAGTTTAATCATTTTCCCCCAAATTCGAAACCTTGCGAATGGTTTTCGTAAAACAAGGCAAGATAGGAAGTAATTATTATGAAGGCTGCCTGTGGTGAGAAACGAGCTTTACACTAATATTACAGATAAAGAAAATGGAACTTGTCATAATGCATTTTGTGAAAATGTAAATCATAAATGTTTTAATTCGTACGTTCTTCTATTCTTACGCAAGTTCATTTCCATTTGTTTCAGGTCCAGACCTCATTCACCTGTGCAAGACAGTCGAGAAAGACATTCAACTGCGCAAGATCGTCGTTACAACAAGCGATTCAAGTACGTATCTCGCACAAAGTTATGCAAATTTACAAGGCACAAGTGGAACAGTGGAGACATAAATAGTGATGCTAATGGGTCTAAGCCATTCGCTAGGCAATAAATCTACGCTGGTGTGAAAGCAATACGTTGGGCAACGGCTTTGACTCGTTCTCTTTCCACTGGGATCGGATGAGTTGGTGCGCAGTACTGTCAAGCAACTTGTCCGCTTAAAACCGCCCAGCCACTAATGTAGAGAAATCAAGTCACAGTCGTCGAGCTATATCTGTAAGCGCAGTAAATTTGTGGTTAAGTTAACTTTCCCTACTTTTCAGGGCATGACTTTTAACTTATCCCATTATTGATTTCGGTAATTACTCGTACGTCGGTTTTTCAATGGTGAGAATTTACTAGCGTTTGGATACAATGCATCAACTTTCATCTATTTATCACAGCATCCCGATTTTTCCAATCTGTGCAAACTTTAAAAGAGGTGTCCTGAAAAGTAGGGAACTTTGCATGAAATAATCTAAATTCTTTCCTACAATCAATATTTATTCAAATGATTTTCTTTCAACTCTTTTATATTTATGACAATTTGTTTTCATTGAAAAGAATTTCCTAATACGAATGAAGCAAATTATTGAAAATCTTTTTAGTTTTCAAGAATAAATTGGGGAGTAGAGTCAAACAACGTTGTAAATAACTAGTGAGCTAGGCATACAATTACTATTGAGTATATTATCATTAAGAGCCGGAATTTTAGGATTTTATGAATGGCATTTTAGAATTTTCCAGGAGTCGATTTAGCCCATTTTAATACTTTATCATTTCACTTCAAGGAATTGGATCTACGCAATGGGTGCCGGAATGTTGTCTGAAGTCCCAACGGAATTCATACGTATGGGCGTATTTGTACAGTCGTACCGTTACGTTTCATGTTTTTCTTTGAGCAGTTACAAATGTAGTGTTCGCGATACAAATTCTGGAGTAGCTTTCGAACTCATCTGAGCGGGGTGCGGTCATTCAAGGCGGAGAGCGCGATGTGTATCCTGAAAAAGATCAAGGAAATAACACAAAAGAAGGTTCTTCTCTTTGGTTATTTCTTAAAGTGTACTGTGACCCACCAAATTGCTACGAATAATCGTAAAGTTAATTGAATGAGGAAAAAATAGATAAACTCATGGCCGATAGATTTATGCGTTGGAAAATTCCTTTAATAGAGCACTATTCGTTTGAAAATACCACATTTGGACCTTGATTACTAGATTTCTTTCACTACCCACATCGTTTCATGTACGGTAGTATTGAAATCTAAAAAAATCTTTAATGATCCATGGTAGAAAGGTATCCGTGTACGTATATTATCTATCAATCGTAGGAAACACTAAGAATGAAAGGGGTCTGAGAGTTATTTAAAGATCTCAAGATCAAGGGTCGAAATGATGTACTATCCTTGCGTACGTGGGTACTGATAAGGAAAGCACATTTTAGAAAAAAAATGAAATAAAAAATAGAAATGGACAGAACAATGGATCTAATATGAGCTATTGTATCTCACATGCAATCTCCCTTAATTGTTATCCAATTTCATACAATTTACTTTCTCGTTACAGAGTAGAGATTAGAGCCCTGGTAACAACAAAGTGGATAAATCCAATTGCTAAATAAAAAAAAACTCCTCTATCACGTGGTGTTATGAGAATCCATGTTTTGTTAGTCCTTGGTACTGAAAAATCGAATGACGGCAAAAGTCTGTGAACAACGCCAGCGGCTGAACGGTTCACTCTGTTTTCTCTGAAATTGATATTCCTCAATCGATCTGGCTGATGTGCCTGGCCCTTGAAATTGAAACCAATATTTTAATTTTGGGGGGTACTTTATGTGTTCTCTGAGGATACGTAACCGAAGGTGTGTAGATTTGGTAGATTTTAAACGTATATTTGCAATATAAAAGTTATTTAAACGGCGAATAGTTTTTTAAGGTTACGAAAATGCAACCAAAATATTTTAAAGTCATATTTATGGTCATATTTTCATATATTTTAGGTCATGAATGCTTGCATATTTCTAAAAAAACCTTTAAGTTATAAACATCCTTACGCTATTCATCACATAGATCAATTTGAGATTCGAGAGGAATCGAACAAAAGTTTGCGATTGTGAAAGTCAATTTTCGCACATGTAACCTTGAGATGTGCCTACGCTAAATATTACGAATGTGCATCATTTACGTCGAAGGATATATGTATGAACCTTGTCAAAATAATGGAAACATTTTATTTTCCCCAAGACATATTTCATATTTCCCCAAAATATGAAATAATATGAAACTTATTGTAAAATTGGTTGTAAATAATAAAATATGCACATTTCATACGTTCGAACAACATTTATAGTTAATTTTCGTATTAAAATTATTAAATTGGATTAACTTTACAGATATCTTACCCACTCCACTATGTTCCCATATCCATGTTTCATTGTATACTTTGTTTCATTGATACATCTTCCGTCAGATCAAATCACATTGAATATACTCTCGCCCGAGAATATTATTTGAGTCCAGTATTTAGTGCCCTTGTGTACTGTTCCTCCGCGAACTCCTGCCTTTTCCTCTTGTGATCTTCTTTATGAAAGGGTTTCTTCTAGCCACACTCTATTTATTGAAAGTCTGTCGACTTCGCATTTGCGCCAAAGTGTGAAGTGCAAGTTGGAGGGTATCGCGATGGCTGAAATGTTAGAACCACGGGAGTAGTCTGAACTTGTACACCGCGTACGTACGTGCGAGAGGAGTTCTGTCCGCAGCGTCGAATTCGGAACAGCTCCCCGGCGCGGCACCTGCGCGACTCCTCGATGACTCCCAGTGTGTGACCTTCGACAAGCAGCCAGGCCCATGCCACGTGTGGCGCAACCCGCCCTCCCCTTCGCCCTGCGGGCCGCACGCGCGCAAGCAAATGTGGAGCAGCGACAGGAATGGAGACGGAGGTGTCGGAAGAGATGGTGGAGACGATAGATGTGGAGGCGATGGCGGAGGCGATGGCGGAGAAGGAGGAGATGGCGAAGACTGAGGTGATGGCGGAGGCAGAGACGGAGGTGATGGCGGAGGCGATGGCAGAGGCGTTGGAGAAGACGGTGGAAGCGTTGGCGGAGGCGATGGCGGAGGCGATGGTGGAAGCAATGGCGGAGGCGTTGGCGGCGATGAGGGCGTAGGCGTTGGCGGAGACTGTGAAGGCGTTGGCCGAGGCGTTGGTGGAGACGTTGGCGGAGCCGTTAAGGAAGCGTTAAGGAGGCGATGGATTGAGGCAGAGGCGATTGCGAATATGCCGGAGGCGATGGCGATGGTAGAGTCGAAGGCGATGGCGATGATGGAATCGAAGGCGAGAGCGGTGGCGTTAGCGGAGGAGATAGCGGAAACAATGGTGGAGGCGATGGCGGAGGCGATGGCGGAGGCGATGGCGGAGGCGATGGCGGAGGCGATGGCGGAGGCGATGGCAGCTGTGGCGGACGACTATTCTGGAGCCGCCGCGTAGCTTTTGTGTTCCGCGAACGCTGCTCCGACGGCGGCGACGGTAGAGGAAAAAAGAGAAAGTCTCCTGGCGATTAGATCTACACGCTTGTTCACTACCATATTTCCAATTTCGGTATCCAACTGCATGCCTCTGAGGATACGAGTTTACAATATGTAAATAAAGTAAAAGCTCGAATGGAATATGTGAAGGTATTTCATTTCTCTTCCAAACTTTCAGCGTACACATATAACAACAAAATACTTCGTATATGTTAAAATGTTAGGAATATGCTTTTTTCTATTTAATTTTATTCAATATTCGAGATATTACAGCACTATCGATGAATATGAAATAAAAGAACGCCTTCGGGCACCCTCTCTGTCAACTAGTTGCAAGCCAGGCAGTTTACCGATACGTGACATCACTTTCTTATGGCAGTTTAATACTGCGAAACATTAGACATCCAACGGTCTGCGCATCCCTATGCTTCAACATTGTAGCACTCGATCATTCTCTGTTCGATTTAGTACAGCATCGATTCGATAGAAAGCGACACATGCGTACACCGCAAGGGCCTCCCAGAGCGGAGGAGGCAGGATCTCGCCGTGGAGCGAAGATGGGACGTTGCTAGACTTGAAGTACTCCGAGAAAAATACCAAATTTCTATAGATTCCCATTTAAAGCATTTCTCAATTTTCTTGCCAACCTAAATGCACCACCCCGAGATTCCCCTCAAGAGTATCGGCTTCAATGTTTAAGTCTGAAAACACATCTGTAAGTAATTTATTGATCGAGGTATTTCATTTGAAAATCAATAAATGTGTCATTATATATATATATATATATATATATATATATATATATATAGCTGCATCTTAATTTTATGAATTCGCTTTGTATTGAAAGTACACAAGTTAAGTCAATTTTTGACGGTATTGAATGAATGTTTTTGGGATGTTTGGCGAATTTATCTTCATTTGATATTAGGTTTGTTGATTCACAATACGCATTTGTTGGGTGCAGTTTCTTGTTTAGAAAGGTTGACAGCCTTCACTTTTTATTTTCCACTTTTTGTGCGAAGTGTGCAATGCTATGCTTTTCCTACCAGTTATTTCGCGAGCGTCGTTGTGAATACGAGTGCATTGGAGTGGTAGATTTCGAACGACAATATTATTGTTTATGATACGTGTTATTGGTGGTGGTCGTGTTGGTGATTGTGTTCTTCATCGTGGTAGTAATGTTATTGTTGTTGTTTGTGGTGTTGTTGTGTACAAACAATAGTGTTTTAAGTGGTGGAGTGCTATCACCGTTTTTTCGAAGATTGGTTGTTTTTAGTTTTCTATGAATTCTATTACCGGAAATTGTCTCAATGCAGAAGTAATACAAAACCTCGAGAGTTCATTGGATATTAAAGCATGTACACGGGAGATACCTGCTATGGCCTGTACGCATAACATTCTTCTTAAGCATGATGGTATACAAACGGAATGACTAACGATAAATGCTTCG